CACTGCGCTGGCCCTGACCTCAGTGCTTTCCATGTGGCTGAAAATAAAACAGCAGAACTACTCAGCCAGTATTCAGCTGACTGGAGAGTCTATTTGCCGCTCAATACATGGGGTCACATGACTCAAGGTGATCGTTGCATATAAGGTCATTGGTAAAGGGATCAGCTTCAAATGGCACTGCAACTGGCTACATCTTGTCAAGTGAGTTTGAGGTCACATGACAAAAAAATGATGTCTTTTGTTTACATTATGATTGGCTTGCACTATCTCAAGTTATCTTACATTCTTGAGGTCATCATTCTTGCTGCGTAGTTCGTTCACTTCGTGGCTTGATTTTAAGTTTACTTCATTACGCCACAGTACCCCGTTGCCTACTTTTTTGCACCAATTCACACTGCACTTCAACTTGGTCAAAGAGTAAAATTTTTATCAGAGTTTGATATGCCAAAAGCAGATGAGATGATTAGGGAAGCCGTAGTGGAGGGCTGCGGTTATTTCGACCACCTGGGGTTCTTACTGTGCGCCTGAATCTCCTCATGTGGGTCTCAAACATATTTGCCTCAGTCTAAAATGCTATCGCCACATATTCCGTGCCATGAACTTCGGATTACCTAGGCAAGGAACCAGAGCAAGTGCTCATTTCAATGACAAGTCATTTGTTGGCGTGCGTAATGTAGTACAGTACAGGTCACTGGTCAGCACATTTGTCTAAAACACTGAAAAGGCATGCTCCAGACTGCACTGATGACGTTTTCTCATTGCCACTACTTTGAAAGAGCCGAAATTCTCGCATATGGAAAGCCGCCAAAGTTAAATGCCTTAGTGTGGGCTGTCAACAACTAGATATCGGTATACATGGCGCCAGCTGCTGGGGCATGCCATTATGTCAATATAGACAAGTTGCTTGATCTCTGTAATTTTTTACTGCTCACTGATTACTTCAAAAATTAGAAGCGTGTACTGTGTAATGCCGCGAGACAGCCGAATGGCAATCAGGAAGACTTCAGGCTGTACACGTGTAGGCTTCAAAATATTCCTTTGATGAATAAAGTTTGGCGCTAACAGTCATATCAGCAAATGTGGGCAAACATGTTCCTAACTATGTTTACCGTCACACAAAAGGGCGCCTACAAGACTGGCTGTTCGTGTAGGCTCCAAATACACAACACACTTGGCACTCCCCTCGAACACTCATTACTCTCATATCTACACAACGGCACCTAATACGTCCATGAGCGCCACAGAGGATTACGCAGGCTTCCTTTGCCTGCCTCTTCAATCGACAGGGTATTAAGCATGGAAGCGTAATGATGGTTACAAAATGCCCCAATCCTGCCTGCTTTCGTTTCTCCCATGAAAGAGTCTTCCAACCCCGTTTCTTCTTTTTGTCACTTGGCCTCAAGGTCACTTGTAGCCAGTTGAATCCGATCGCATTTTCAATGACATCATAAGTGACATTCACTTTGGGTCATGTGACCCCGAGCTCTTCAGGTGCAAATAAACCCTCTCCAGCTGACTGCCTGGGCTGCCCGTGATAATCAGACCGATGTTGCTGCCAATTTGGATTCTGTGATCTTTCGGTAACAGTATATTTCTATTTCAGTGCCCCAAATATTTTTATATTGAGACGACTGTACAAATATTAAGCCAGAAATAAAGGTTCGAGTTTTATTACTTGTTCATTAATGAAAACTTTACGCTGCTTAAGGAGATTTTACAATGAATCCGTCTTGTAACACTGTGCAACGCTGAGCTGACAATGGCCTTGGCGCTCCTCATATAAAGCCTCTTGATCTTGGGAAAGTTCCACCATCCACTGTACTCACCGTCGCACACTGGACCTCCTCTTTCCTCCTCACCCCCCTTCGCGTCCTTGCGGTCTCAGACACTTTTTCTGCATGATGATTGGTCTCATTCACAGTTGCCCTTGGAGACACGTGGATCTTGCACTTTGCTTGTGTTTTTCTTTTTTGCTCGTGCTCTTTTTCGCGGCACTCAGCGTAACAAATGTAGCGTGCGCTTTGCTTTTTTTGCTGTGTGCGGGTGCCCAGCCGTGCTGTTGCGCCTATGACTACAACAGCCGCAATGAAAATGGTTACGCACTTTTCATGATACCCCAAGATAAACGCAATGGCTTGCACAAGTTGGAGTGGCTGATGATTGATTTGTGTGGTTTAACGTCCCAAAACCACCATATGATTATGAAAGACGCCATAGTGGAGGGCTCCAGAAATTTCGACCACCTAGGGTTCCTAAACGTGCACCCAAATCTGAGTACACGGGCCTACACCATTTTTTCCTCCATCGTAAATGCAGCCGCCACAGCCAGGATTTGATCCCGCGACCTGCGCGTCAGCAGCCGAGTACCTTAGCCACTAGACCACCGTGGCGGGGCAAGTTAGAGTGGCTGCACAACATCGCCTGAAAAAACTTCATTCTGGCAAAGAACAGTGTAAGTTGCGAGGTAAGGTGCCTTTCTTATTGCTCGTATCAAAACATCACTATATGCTACATTTGAAATATTGTTTCGGCCTGCTTATCAACATACGTGCTTTTAGGGACGAAGCTCATAACGCCGTGGGTCATATGTTCCATGTAATTGTAGTCGTCATAGTAGCCAGTTGTATTACATTGGATGTCAATAGAAATGGTGTCACAGCATATCTACGGAGTGAATAATATGAGTGCGATGAAGCGTGCGTCCATGTGTGTTTCCATCCATACATCCGTCTGTGCCTCCATCTGCACGCTTTCCCCCACTCGTCATCATTCACCTCGTGGATATGCTGCGACTTTTTTCTCGGCTATTCGTGCGTTGCTTCGAAGTGGAGTTGTCATCAATATGCTGAATTCATTTTTTAGAAACAATAAGAAAGTTGAATCGTTTTATATTTTTATACAAAATTATATCATGAAAAGGTGCCTTAAATGTACCTTGTTGCCTTCAGCAAGTCACTGCTAGGAATACCCACCATAAACATGATTGATTCTTGGCCCCAATATTTGCGCAAACTAATGCTTACAAATAGTTATTTTCCCAGAACAGTTAATGAATTCAATTCAATGCCTCATGAAATTTTTTAGGCTAACAATTTCTCTACGTTGCTGGAACCTTATTCACTTGGTGTTTAGAATGTTCAAATGTGTTATGAATTTTGCTGCTGTTTTACAGGCATGTGACCTATGTTATCGTATGGATATATGTTTTTTTTTGCCATTTCGAATCACTTGACGTTTCTTATCTCCTTCCTGCTTTGACCAAAATGCTGGTCTGCAGGGTGCATAAATAAGTAAATAAAAGAAATAGAAATATCCAGCACATCCTTTATCACCTCGCACGCACCTCAGCCATCGTCGATAATTCACAACTGTAGTCTGCTTTCACTGTGAACAATTAGGTGGGATGACTTCTCGATCACGCTTTGTGTGACTGTTAGGATTCGTTTACGAGAACGTTTGTTCAAGAAATCAAATTAATGAATGAATAGACATGATACTAATTGGTGCTCATTTCCATAAGGGTATTTATTTTGTGATTTGCTCTTTAGAGAATGGACACACAAAAATCATGAAAGAGATGCGGTCCATCAAAATAAATAAATACAGAAATGCCATGAAAAAAAAAAGCTATAGCCCGGTGATAACGAGTTAGCCATTTTCTAAGACACCGTGGCCGCAATCGTTTTGGTCATTCCTGCATTAGCATGTCTTCCATTCCCCTAATAAAAAAACTATATTGTCTTTTATACCAGTATCAAATGGGTACTTCTGACCGGAATCAGTCAGTCCGGATAGGATTTTTTGGTCGCTATGAATGCGCAGATTATGGTGACAATCCTGGGGCAAAATTTCTCCTCTCACAAGTAACCCGATCTATAGTTTATTTGACAAAAAATGTGAGAACAGAGTTCTAATTAGTCATTTTGTAATGTTTCTGTTATTGTGGTAGATGAGTCACTGTTGGCGACATATAATCGTATTGACAGGGCTTAAAGGGCTTCTTCAGTTTGTAGATCATTTCCAAAGCTACTTTCATGCCCAGATGAACACATGGCTAAACAATCCGCCATCCACGAAGTCATTGCAATATGTGACGCTGTAAGTACCTGTGTCGTATACTGGCGCACAAGCACGAAAAAAAATATTAGTACAGAAGGACATGCCACAAGCGTAACAACATCAGATGCAAATGTACAGCATGTTATCATACGGCAGAAAAAACATCTGCATCGTACAACTCACCATAAAATTTATCAAATTAGCATGCCCACTTATACCAACTTTGAAAGAAGCCTATTTTTTAATAAACGGTTGCCTCAGTGTTCTTAATTTTATTATCACCATTTAAAAAAATTTCAGCACTACTGTGGTGTGCAAGCTGCCGCAAATAAACCACTTCCATTGAATTTTACAGTGCGCCTGCGGGAGCGTCGGCGAAAAATGGCGCCGTGCGCCGCACGTACGGCAAGGGAGCGAGGAGAATTGAGGAGGAAATGCGCACATGGAGGAGAAAGTCGTTACTTTCCCAAGATCGAGGGGCTTTATCCTCATATCGTTTGCCGCTCTCTCTGGCGGCGCTGACGTGATGACGCCAGGGAAGCGACGCCGAGAGAACGCCAGCGAAAACGCTGCATAGGCTTTGGGCGTTCAGGCTTTGGCATGCTAGGTCACTCGAGCTTCGGAAATGCGGCTGAAACAAATAAGCCCACACTTCAGTTATTTTGACTCAGCGAATCTCTCTCTAGCGAATATTGCGAAGTGCCACAACAACGGTAGATCAGCGAGATAGGGGCAAAAATTTTAAGCTTATCTGTGGAGTAGCTTATATTCCGTAGAATTATACAGTCGGCAAAGGCTTGCGCATGTACAGATTACTTCCGTTGTCCGGTAACACGGTATTGTAAACAAGTATAGTACAAGCTAAAAGCCCCTATATTGTCTCTGGTGTCACGCGAATAGTCTGTAGTTCAACATTTCCAGCACCAAAAAATAGCACTGACTCTTCTAGCTCTGTGGCCCAGAGCACGTCTCCTTCTCCATCCATGATGACAGGTAGGAGTCCATGTTTGCTTTGCCGCAGGGAGTTTGCATTTGTTGTCAGTGTTCGCACTTTAGCAACCTGCATAATAAGCGACACACAGGCCCATATAAACGTGATGAGCATTTCGAAACAGCTTTGCACCACGTACGCTATTCTCTAGAGGCGACAGCTCGTCTTTTCTTTCTTCCTTCATTGAAGTAGAACAGGCAACCAATTATAACATCCCTCGAATAAAAATAGTTATGCAACCTTTACAAAAGATTGTATACATCAACACCCATACCACTGGGGAAATAATTTTAGTTTTTTTTTCGTAAAAATTTCATTGTTGCGAAAACAAAAAAAGCATGTGGCTTGCTTTGCACAACCAAAACTTATCTTAAAAAGTCGTTGATCATGACCTGTTTCTTGTTGTTTTGAAAGAACTTGACCACTCAAGCATCGCAGCTTAGTAAACTTCGCCGTCATCATGGTCACTGAGAAAAGTGCGAATGATGTCACATGAACTTCACGAGCATTTAGTTTCTTTGCGGGTGTTGTGCTGCTTTTCTCATTCTCGTCATTACACTGATATTATTTGTGCACACTATCTATAATAGCTAACCTGCAGGTGACGGGATCGAATCCTGGCTGCAGCGACTGCATTTTCGATGGAGGCAAAAATGCTGTAGACCTATGTGCTCAGATGTGAATGCACGTTAAAAAACCCCAGGTGGTCAAAGCTTCCGTAGCCCTTCGCTACGGCGTCTCTCATATACATATGATGGTTTTGGGACATTAAACTTCACATATCAATCAAACCCATTATACCACCATCACTGACCATATCGTGCACGACTACGTCAGTGACAGCACATCAACATTTGTGCAGCTACATTTAGTGGAGTGAAACTTTGGGTAGTTGGTTTTGCATAATGAAGTACGTATAGCACGAACTCAAGAGGCATTGTACGTGCTTCATTATGACCCAGACAGTGCTTGTGTGTGTTTTTTTTAGAATTCCCATCTTGAGTTCGTGCTGTAAGTACTTCATTAGGCAGCTTCACAGCGTCTGCTGCACTATATCAACACGGTGGAAGCTGTTCACTGCCTGAAACTATCGTCATTGTGGGAGTGTTTTTTTTAATCTTTTCACTGGAACAAATGTATTGAACTCTGTGGAGATTTTTTTCGTTGCTACGATATTCTTGCTTTTGATCACATTTGTAATTGAAGAATTCAAGTAGACTAAAAGAGCATAGCGGCAGCCTGCGGATGCTTTAAAAAAAAAAACATTTTGCATTTATATTGAGGTAAATTATGCAGAGCACTTGCATTTTAATGTGTTAAGACTGGTGCACCTGGAGAAGTGTGCCTGCAGGGGCGCGTTACCCAGTGCTTGTCGAATGCATAGGTAGATTGAGATTAAAACAGTTACAGAAAGCCGTATCACACAATGAAGGATTGAAAAATTCATAACACGGAGTGTGGCCAGAGCCAATGTTTCCACTGCCAGAATTCTCACGCACTGTGTTAGGCAATTCAAGCTTTGAAGAACACAAATTAGTTTGCCTGAAAGATGCCTCTAGCGACACCTCGTGCTCGCAAATTTTTCAACTTTTTTAACTTCCATCTTCACCTTAATGAAGAAAAATAGACATACACTGTACTATGCATTCGTTTTCATATTTAGCTTCATATATCAGTCTTCTTCAATGTTACTTGAAGTGACAAAACCTTTCCTAATCATCTATCAGTTTCGCGCTGTGTGTTGTAGCGGTTACAGTACTCGGCTGCTGTCCCGAAGGTCGCGGATGCAGCTTTGGCCGCGGTGTTGACTGTTGGGAGAGTTGGTGTTTTGTCGTAGAAACCATCGTGAGAGTGCTACTACACAGGACACACAAGAAAGAACAGATAAGGAGAGGTGTGCTTGTCCTCCTGTGTTCCTTTTCGTGTATTCTGTGTAGTTGCACTCTCACTATGGTTTTTTGTGCACTGTTAAGCAGTATAAAGTGACTCAATAGCTGTGAATTAAAAAATCGACACATGAATATCATTACTATCTGGAGTTTTACATTCGAAAATGATGACATAGTTATGAGATATGGCGTAGTCTAGGACTCCGGAAATTTCTATGACCTGGGATTCTTAATGTGCTCTGACATAAGAGCGTTCAGTTCTCAGTCACCAGTTGTCATGAGTGCGAGTTGCTGAACTGAGGAATATGAGTTTTCTATTCAAAATTTTGCTAAAAAAAATATTGTGTTGCAATAAATTTTACCGTATTTACTCGATTCTACCGCGCCCTCGATTGTAACGCGCACCCGATTTCCACCGCGAAAAAAAAAAAAACGTAAGACATCGATTGCAGCGCGCACCCATTTTTTTTTTTTTTTTTGCGGGCCCGCACGATCACACCACTCGAAAAAACGATTCCTTTCGAGATTGTCTTCCATTTACATATGAGGTACGGGCGAAGCTTGTGCCCATCTGACGTGTAACAGAGCATTGCCGTCACTGTAGTTTTACCGTGGACCGATGTCAGCACGCGAACTTGCTTCGCCCCCTTCTTCTCGACAGTTGTGGTGCCAGGCATGTCGAAGTAAAGAGGCGTCTGATCGGCATTCCAGATTTGCCCAAGCAGGTAGCCGTTGTTGCGCCGCAAGTTTAGGACGAACCTCTGAAAACTGTAAAGCTTTTCATCGTACTTTTCCGCAAAAGTTTTCGCATATGCATGTTCCCCTTCGGAGGGAAGAGCCTTTCCTCTTCATATAGTTAATTAGCCAGCACCTGCTCGCTTTAAACTGGCTCCGCATTAGACTTTTTTCTTAGACTAATTGCATAGCCCGCACTTGGAGCAGTTCTGTCGTCACGGGCCGCTGTGCCGCTCGCTCCTCAAGCACATACTCGCGGAGCAGCTCTTTAATTTGCGGAAACCGACCCTGCTGTGGTTCACTGAAGCCTTTGCGTGAAGCTTTGCTGTCGACAATCTTCTGCTTTTGTTTCTGCCGGTCCCGCACGCACATTTCGGGAACGACCGCGATGCGGCCCAATTTCCGTCCGTTTCTGCACACGCGATGACTTTTCTTTAAAAAGCGGCATCGTGGTGCACTCGAGTTTTTGGAGTCGGCCCTTCCATGCCATCGATGCTAATGCACTACTAGATGACGAACTCCTCAGCACACGTACGAAGTGCCGCACATGGGAAACACATAGGCAGAAATAGCCGACGCACCATGCCGACGCACGTAGGGGGTGGCCATTTTGGATTTGCGATGGCAATAGATTGACCGTCATTTTTTTGTTCGTACTCGATTCTAACGCGCATGTGAATTATGAACTCGCTTAATTGGAAAAAAGGTGCGCGTTAAATTCGAGTAATTACGGTAATCTTTTGTACTAATTCCCTGTATTAGATGCAAAAAAATGCCCAATAAAGTTTATTGATAAACGACTGCAGGGTATAAAAGATGCAATGAAAGCTTGTAGGTTGAAGTAGTTTTTTGTAAGATTTATAGTATAGCATTTATGTACTAATTACTAATCACCACAGAACATATAGGCACCTTAAATGATAATCCCTATGCCATGCTACTTCACTTTGTGCTTACTTCATCAGCATGTGTCTTATAAAGAAATGGATCCCTTTGATTCATTCCTATATTTCTTATTCCTTTGCTATATGATTCTTGCTTGTCTCACTTTGTTCACCTCTTTACTTATGTCTAGTTTTCTATGCACGATGGAAGTTATGTGAACAAGGCGTTGTCTTATTATACCATGACCACTCTCTCTTTATGAACCGGTCGCAGACTGGAACGGGTAGGGCCAGCAACAGTGAGATTCAGATTGCTCTGCACTGTTGAACTACACACAAAGAATTATATTTTAAAAAAAGGTACGTTTTATATAGGTGTTTTAAATTCCAGACAGGCGTGCTGTGTAACAACCTTGCAAATAAATGTGGTACTTACTGCAGCTTTCCTTCTCAGAAGCGGGTGAAGGATGCTTTGTAGACTGGTACGCTGTACTAGTTCAGGGTTTAGGGACCTGTGATAGTGGAAGATGGCATATCACTGTTGTATTTTTTACTGAAAGATTGTTCCAGTAGGCTACCATGCCTGCCAATGGAAAAGAAAAGTTGGGCATAAAAATCTAAGAACTATTGTGCAAGTAATATCACACTCCACTTTGCCCTGCTTATCCAGATCAGTTTTTAATTACTACTAAGCAATTTGCAAAATGAACATCGGTTGGCACATTAGTCGGGAGTGGGGAGGAAATGTCTACACACAGCTTTGCACATAAGGCTGTTTCACAACACAATATTGGTTAGTGCGTCAGGTTTTTTTATACTTATGACTCCATCACAGAATGAAAAATATTTGTGCTTATGTATGTTTACTCAGGAGTTTTCAAGACAGAAAAGCTTGTAAGCAATGCTTGAATTCTTATGAATATTATGCTGGGCGTTCTTTAGATAGACGTTCAATGCATACATTTCATTAGCAACCATTGTCTCTTCACTCTTTTTCTCTTTTAATAAATAATAAGCTTTCAGTAAATCAAAAGAACAAGTTAAGTGAAAGGATACAGAAAACTCTACAGATCCCTCGAAATAGGGCACACAAGATGTCAGTGACCAATAGTAAAGGGGAGGAGGCACTTGAGGATTACTGAGCAGGACAGGAGCAAACCCTTCTGCCTCATTTTAAAGACAGGAAAGGGGAAGACACAGAGAAGAGGGGCAAAGGATTTATGGTACCACTTGGCACCGTTAACGTGCAAGCTAGCATATTCCGTCCTTCTATTCTGCATTAACACAGCGAGCTCACAGACAAGCATACTTTATTGTGAAATTTTCAATGAGATAAATTTTTTATATATCTTCAGAACAGTTTCAACTGAAAGACAATAATAAAAATGTGATACTCACATATGCATACCAGGAATATTGCCCCAGAACAGCCTAGCCCTTGCTTGAGCCGAGAAGCTACAGGCGTCCAATAGTACCGGCTCACACTACAACAGATGAGAAAACCACATTTTGTATATTTGCACTATCTACTTCATTTTTACGTTTACAGCTACTAGCACACATGGGAAAGTTTTGCACGGTCGTCATTTGGATGCACCAAATTTAAGACCTGTCTATATGACCGCTCGTTAAAAAGAAGTGTCTTTCACCATGCACAATTTAATACACTGCTAGTACCATGGTTATTGCGAAATTCATGACACCTCAAAGATAAAATAAGTATTGATGCTGAACTAAGAGGAGCCTGTGTAATGCTCTACATAAGGCTTCTGAACTTAAACTGAGCTTGTGTGGCGTGCAACAGCACGGTCACCACATACACTGAATATAGTTGTAGGTAACTTTGTTGCTCAAAAATGATACAACCGCTCCACAGACAGCAATACTAGTTATAAAAACACCAGCATTTTAATGCAAGGTGATATTCATAAACAGCGTAATATATTGCACTGAAATGATAGTGCAACTTCAACAATGGGTACTTCAGAAAAAGCACACTGAACCAAATAGATCACTGACTTTCAAAGACCTATTTTAGAACGCAAGTGTTTTATGTCTTTTATGCGGGAGTCAACCAAGACTTCTGTGGCGTATTTCTGTACGCCGATCAAAAATCAAATGAGTTAAGACAATGGGAGTTGATCCCACAACTTCTCGTTCCATGACAGAAGATGCCGGGCACGCAACTTACTGCTCCACAGTCAAATACTCTGAAGGCTTTTTAAATGCACCTCTTTATATCTAGCACTGTTCTCTTACAGTGCTCTTGGTAAATTTAAATATAACACACCATCACCGTGAAATCCATATTTAGCTCATTGAACGCCTAGTTTCAATGTGTTTCTTTCATTTGGCACGTTTGAAATACGAGAAGTGCAATTTCGTCTGCGCCTTAACACTCCCCCATGTTCCCAGTGTCTACAAGCCACGGCTTCGCTCACGAGATGCTAGTGACAAGGGTAATAGTTTATTTATTTACAAATACATCACAGGCTCCAAATAGGAGCATCATGTGAGGGGGTTATTTACAAAGACTGTGATAAAACAATATCGGCAACTACAGAGAAGTTCAACGGGACATGGTGTAGTAATTTTTTTTGTGTGTGGCTTTATACTTTTTGCACAATGTTGAACTGTTCCTTTCTCCAAAGAAATGATAACACTGCCATAATCTTTTGTTGATGTCCTTGGTAGTGCAACTTCTTCATGCTCATTTCAAAAATTGATGGCTTTGTTGAATTCTCTTGTATGGATGTCCTGCATCGGGAATGTCTTTCCGGCAATACCACTGGTACCGAGCTCCAAAACTCATTGTGACAAGCAAAAAAAATCCTCCTCTCATAGATATCTCTTTGCAGGATGTAGATATGACTGCTCTCCTAATGCCCAACTTGCTCCTCAATGAATGACACTCCTTGGAGAGCCAAATGACGATCAACGCTGTTATCAGACACCTAATGATCTTTGCTGTTATTTGGCAATACTTTTCAAAATCGGTCCGACCCAATCGTTCCCTGTTGGCGCTTGGGAAAACAACTGATCCGCAAATGGTTTACGGTCTGTAATGATGACTTCATTCAAATTATTCGTTTTTGAAGATTCAATGATGCCGCCGCAGAATTGAAGAATGATGACAGCTTCTATCTGCTCTAATGATGACAGTAATTACAAAAATGAAAAAAATAGCCTTTCAACCGCTGGAAATAGCCGGTCGAGTCAAATGGGCGAAGTTAAGTTCTTACAAATAGTCTATAGGCACTTCATAATTTTCAAAAGACGACCATTGGTGATAACCACGACGCGATCAAATCTGACTGATATAGCAGGCGAAACCAATACCTGCGCACCAAAGAGCCCATCTGTCATTCACTTCATAAACACTCTCTATAATAAGTTAATGGCTTTAAAATGTCTAAAAACTTGACTATTTATGTAATTACTACCATAAGTGTTTGTAAACATCTGAAGATGCCTTCTGCCAAAGTAAACAGAATGCCACAGGTAGCATACGGATGCGTTTTATCTGTAATTTCTTCAAACACCCGTTATATGAGACCTGGAGGTGGACCCGGGCCCGAAGCCCATGGGCCCAAGCTCGGCCCAGGCCGATCCAACATTGTCTTACCTTGCCTGGCCCAACCTGCGGGCCAGGTTGGGCCCAGGATTTCAAGCTGGCACGGGCCCGTGCAGTTCTCTACTTTGAAATGGTTTGCAAGAATGGCCCTCTCCGCCTGAGCATTTGCACTGGGTTGGCAATCTCAGGTTTTAGTTGGAGGAGGATGTCCTGTGCCAACACATAGGAACGAAAGTCGTACATAATATCTGGTAGAAGGCTCTGTTCTTCTGACAATTCAATTAGCCTCATTAGCATGACCTTCTCCATCACCTTACCAGTGCATGACGTGAGGGATATGGGACGGAGATTGATAATGTTGAGCGCTCTGCCAGCTTTCGAGATGAAAGTGAGCTTGACAGATTTCCACTCTATAGGAAGCATTCCGCCGTCCAAGTAATGGTTTACTTTTGTACAATGCAATCGCTTAGATTATAGAAGAGCCCTATCAATAGCTGATCGGGTCCTGGGACGGTGCCCTCCCTCATGCTTTGTATCACCGCTTTAGCTTTGATGAACGTAAACACTTTTTAAAGTTTCGGAGTATCAGGGCTCTTATACAATGGTACGGGTGCGTGATTCCATGTGGTGTTGATGTACTTCAACTGTAGGGCATGAAGTTCGTGTTATCGCCAGGAAGGCCGTGCTGAACTCTCTGCAGGCTTCTTCTCGTCTTGCCTCTGGTAGAATATGGGTCAATGAGGTGGTGGAAGAGGTGCCAGGCAGATTTAGTATGAAGAGATTCCCTAAGAGAGTCGTCATTCAAAAACCAATTTTCCCTAGTGAGTCCGATTGCGTATTTTTTTGCCTTAGCGTTGAGGGCGGCGATTCGTGTCTTGAGTCGAATATTCAGTCTCCGTCGCTTCCAGCATCTTGGCAGTTGGCACCTGGCCTTCCATGGATGTAAGAAATTAATTGCTGGTGTTTCAAAGAAAGATATGATTGTTTTAGTAACCTCATCCTTAAGTTGCAGTAAGGTGCCATCCCACTCAGAGTATAATGTGGGAATTTGAAGAAAGGGAACGTTTTCTATTTTTGCGGAAACCAGCCCAGTCTGTTAGCTTGAATGTCTCTTGATATTTCTCGAGTCTGCGATACGATAAGAATTCGTGAATGAAAAAAACAATCACTCCTGAGGTTCTCTTGTGAGTTCCACCAGTGTGGCTGAGGAAGGTTGGTACCCATAGTTGAGTCGGGACCTGTATTCCTCGCAACACTTACCTGTGCTAGTGGAGTAGGCTGGTTCGATAAGGAAACTGATATTTTCAAGAGCCATGAGGGCATGCAGTTTTTGTCCTTTGGTGTCCTTCTTGTGGATAACCACGGGAGGGTTGTCTGGCATTAAAGTCACCTACTATTAGCAGAGGAGCATTTAGAGCTTCTCCCTCCTAAGTACTGACCGAGCCCAATGCTGCTTAGCTTCAGTGATCGGACGAGAACCAGCGCATTCAGCATGGTACGGCTGATGGCCAGCATTTAGAGCTTTTTTCCTAGCTTCATGGAAGACCTCGATGAAGGTATGCTTATGCGACTTGAGTCGACTGTATATGTTAAGTACTTATACCGGCTGCTGCGAGTGCTGGATAGGCAAAAGTTGTATAAAGATACACTCAAGCTTTGTATCACAAGTCTCATAATCTACCATGACTGCCATGCAGGTGTTGAGAACTAAAATGCAGACCAATGTGTTATATTGATTGGCATGTGTTCAGTACAACGAAAAGTTGATATCGGGGACTATGGTGTCCTGCTCCATTATGAAGCCGAGTTTCTGAACTAGCGTACATATGTATTATTGCAGCGATGCCGCCTTATGGCAGAAGCTTCTGTAGTTCGACTGTATTATGTTTAGGCTTCAAGGTAGTTGCACCATCATGGGTTCGAATAGGATATCTCCTTTGAATCTGCAGTTTTCATCGCTCTCGCGGAGATATCGTGGTGCCCTGTGAGAAGCTTAACAGGTGTTCTTCCATGCCCTTATTTCAGCTGTGAGAGTGTGGTGTGCGTGCGCCATATCGGAGGCTATAATTTTTGTACAATGAAAGGCCATGGGTAGGTTGCAGCACCGTATTGTTTAGCAAAGCATAGGAAATACCCATCTTTACCTGCATGGCGTAACATTGTAAGCGCAACGTAATAAATGCTACGCACTCTGAATTACTTATACATGCTTTTTCTAGCATATAAAAACACACCACAGAATAATGACGTGTTGGTATTGTGCATCAGATACACGCGATATTCACTTTTTTATTAAACAATATCCACAAGTATGAATGCCGAAACCAGATCAAGATTTGTAGGCAGTGAGGAAGTGGTTGAACTTTAGCCTAGTAGCTGAATTGCTTTGGTTGACAGACAGACAAGTTCAACGACAGACCAATGAACCTTTTTGCATTGAAGTATCCCAAGAAAGACTGTCATCTTAGTGAATGGAAAGCAGGTCGCAACAATGGCAACAGCCCCCCCCCCTCGTCACTCATAATCTGACAGGTAGGTGGGTGCCGGTTATTGCTTAAAGACATCAGGCTCTGCAGTTTTGCAGACACTTAGCATCCCCTGTTGGAGCAGTTTTCGATAGTGCAAAGCCTGATGCCCTTGCACAGCTTGCTGTGCAACCAGGAGCACATAATTGTGAAAGCTTGTGAAAGAATGATTGAGCTCACAATTAAGCGTGTTAGCACAATGAACACTCAGTAAAATAGCTACGAATTGATTTCAGATAGTCGAACGCATCACCAGATTGCCATCAAATACTTGCTGGTTTATTTGCCAGAATGACAGTGAAAACAACAGCAGTCGCAACAGCTGCACCCTACATGAATAAGTATTTCAGTCATTGGCACTATTGTGTTGTGAATTGCCACGGAC